TTTTTTTAAGTTTATTCAGTTATTATTTCTGAGAGAGAGAGAGAGAGAGAGAGAGAGCAAGCACAAGTGGGGGTTGGGCAGAGAGAGAGGGAAACACAGAATTGAAACAGGCTCCAGGCTCTGAACTGTCAGCACAGAACCCAATGCAGGGTTTGAAGTCACAAACCAGGAGATCATGACCTGAGCTGAAGTCACATGCTCAACTGACTGAGCCACCCAGGCACCCCCTTAGTGTTTTCTATATATAGTATCATGTCATATGCAAATAGTGATAGTTTAATTTCATCCTTACCTATATAGATGCCTCATTTCTTTTTCTTCTCTGATTGCTGAGGCTAGTACTTCCAGTATTATGTTCAATAAAAGTGGTGAGAGTGGACACATTTGTCTTGTTCCTGATCTTACAGGAAAAACTTACAGTTTTTCACTATTGAATATAATGTTCACTATGGGCTTTTCATATACATCCTTTATCATATTGAGGTATGTTCCCTCTGAACTTTGTTGAGACGTGCCTGGGTGGCTCAGTTGGTTAAGTGTCCAACCCTTGGTTTCGGCTCAGGTCATGATCTCACAGCTTCATGGGTTTGAGCCCTGCATTAGACTCTGTGCTGACAGTGTGGAGTCTGCTTAGGATTCTCTGTCTCCCTCTCTCTGCCCCTCCTTTACTCATGCTGTATCTGTCTCTCGCAAAATAAATAAACTTAAAAAAAAAATAAACCCACTTTGTTGAGAATTATGAACAGATGTTTGATTTGTCAATAAACTGAATATTAATATATTCCCCCTTCTTATTCTTATAGGACATTAATATGCAGCTGACTGACATACTGTTCAATGTGCAGCGAATAATCAATTGCTACACTGTTGATGAGAATGTGCACTCCGGAAGGAAAATCTCCCTTCCAGAACATAAGAAATGGAGAATAAATTTCCTGGATAAAATAGTTACTTATGCTAAGAACAGTGAAATTAGAGAAAAGACTCTTTTGCACATCCTGGTCTGGTTGGAAGAATGGAGTAAGTTTTCAGAAGTGGTTCAAAGGAAAACCATGAAGTTAATGAAAAAGAGAACAGGATCTATAAGTAAATTTTAAAGGGTTAATCAGACTACCTTTAAAAGAAGACTAAAGAGGTTATTCAGAGAATTACTGTCCACTGTTTCAGTAAGAATAAAGTAAGCACTATGTAGTCTTGCTTACTTAGTGCCAGCTATTCTGGGCTCCTTGCTTCTCTTCAAGCATGCCAGTATGCCTCTGCCCAGTGTCTTTATGCTTACTATTCCTTTGCCTGGAACACTGTCCACAAGTAGCCATGTGGCTCATTTTCTGCTTATATCTCACTTTAAAATGATGTGTTCTCTGACCATCTCCATTCCCTACTCCCTGGCACTGTCCATTCCTCTTTATTTTTTATTTTTGTCTGTAGCATTTCTTATGATCTGCCATACTATATAATTAATGTTTATATTTTTGTGTTTTGTGTGTCTCCTTTCACTAGAATGCAAGCAGTATGAAGTCAGGGAACTTGTTTTATTCAGTGTTGTATCCTCAACATCTAGAACAATACATGACAAAGGAGACATTTGGTTGAATGAAAGAATGAATAAGCTAAGAATACAAAAAGAATAATTTCATTAAGTTGCAAGAAATCTCATATAATGAAGGTTTTAAAATACTAGACAACTTATGAAAGGAGTTGAGGTTTAGTTCCTCAATATTAAAATACATGTTCACATTTTAGTTACCAGAGTATTTTCATGTCCAAGATTTACTGTTCAGCTTTCTATTCCAAGCCTCATCCTTCTTCATTTCTTCATAGAGAAAAGCCTCGGAAGAGCAATCAGTGTGAGACACCTATATTCCTCAATACTATAGTATGAAGTAGTTAGCCAATATTATAAGCCTATATGATTATAATAATTTTTCTGCACAAAAATAATTTTCTTTTGCTCTCTTCAAGATGCCATTTTGTCTGAGATGACTGCAATTGATATTGAGGAACACCATCACTGGATAGCAAAAATGGAGTTTTTACCAGAAATGTACAAAGCTATTGAGAGCAATGTCAAGATACTGAGTAGAATTAGTGTATCTTTATTTGAAGAAAAGAAGAGACAAAAGAAAAAAATGAGTAAGGGTGCTTTAAGACATTGGAAACAGATTTGACTTTTTCTAAAAAATGGCTTTATTAAAGTAAAAGTTACATACCATAAAACTCACATATGTTAAATGTAAAATTCAATGATTTTTGTAAATTTAGAGTTTTGTAGCTATCACCACAATATTTTATTTTATTTTATTTTATTTTATTTTATTTTATTTTATTTTATTTTATTTTATTTATTTTTTAAAGTAGGTTCCATACCCAGCATGGGGCTTGAAGTCATGACCCAGAGATCAAGAGTCTCATGCTCTACTGACTGAGCCAGACAGCCACCACCACTGCCCCCCTCCCCACAATTCAATTTTAGAACATTTCCTTCATCCCAAAAAAGATCCCTCATGCCCTTTTGCAGTCAATCCTCACTCCCACCCACCCACACACACACACACAACATTTGTGTATGTTCCAAACACACACACAACATTTGTGTATGTTCCAAACATACACAAATCTATTTTCTGTCTCAATAAGTTTGCCTTTTTTGGACACTTCATAAGATGGAATCATATTATACGTAGTCTTTTATATGTGGTTTCTTTTACTTAAATAATGGTTTTGAGGTTCAGCCATGTTATAGGATGTATCAGTAGTTTCTTCCTTTCTATGACCAATTGTATATCATTTTTTGCATATACCACATTTTGTTTACCTACTCACCAGTTCATGGACATTCAGATTATTTTGACATTTGACTTTTATGAATAATGCTGCTATAAACCCAGATGTATAAGTCTTTGTGTGGATGTATGTTTTCATTTCTTTTGGGTAGATACCCAGGAGTAGAATTTCTGGGTCATTTACCTATTGCTGGTAAGTTTATGCGTATCTTTTAAAGAAATTGTTAGCTTATTGCTCAAATGACAGCACTATTTTACGTTCCCATCAGCAATGTATTAAGGTTCCAGTTTTTCCACATCCTCAACACTTTTTATGGACTTCTTTAGGATCGCCTTTCCAAGAGGTGTGAAGTGGTATCCCATTGTGGTTTTATTTATTTTTTTAATGTTTATTTATTTTTGAGAGAGAGAGCATGAGTGGGTGAGGTGCAGAGAGAGAGGAGGACAGAGGATCCAAAGCTCCACACTGACAGTAGAGAGCCTGATGCAGGGCTAGAACTCACAAACTGTGAGATCATGCGCTGAGCTGAAGTCCGCCTCTCAACCAACTGAGCCACCCAAGCACTACTTCCCTTCTCCATTGTGGTTTTAAATTGTATTTCCCTAAAGACTGATGATGTTGAGCATCTATCCAGGTGCTTATTAGTCATTCTTATATTTATTGCGCTGAAATGACTATTCAAATGCTTACCCATTTCTATTATTGAGTTTTAAGAGTCCTTTGTGTATTTTGAATACAAGTCTTGAAATGTGATTCTCAGGGACGCCTGAATGGCTCAATTGGTTAAGTGTCTGACTTCAGCTCATGTCATGATCTTGTGGTTCATGGGTTCAAGCTCAGAGCCTGGAGCCTGCTTCAGATTCTGTGTCTCCCTCTCTCTCTGCCTCTCCCTGACTCACACTCTATCTCTCTCTGTCTCTCTCAAAAATAAAGAAACATTAAAAAAAAAAAAAAAGAAAGAAACGTGATTTTCAAACATTTTCTCTTAATCTTTGGTTTGACTTTTCATTTTCTTAATGGGGCATTTGAAGGCCAATGGTTTTTGATTTTGATGAAGCCAAATCAATTTGTCAATATTTTCTTTTGTGGTTCATGGTTTTAGTGTCGTATTAAAAACTTGTATGGGGGGGCGGTGCTTGGCTGGCTCAGGCAGAGGAGCATGTGACTCTTGATCTCAGGGTCATGAGTTTGGGCCCTTCATTGGGTATAGAGATTACTAAAAATAAATAAATAAATAAATAAATAAATAAATAAATAAATAACTTAAAACAAAAACAAAAGCTTGTATTGGTTAGTGTTCAACCAGAGAAGCAGAACCAGTAGGAAATTATCGTTATCTGTATATCTATGTATCTATCTACCCCATGTGAAGTATTTTGTGGAACATACTTTGTATTCTTTCAATCCTTTTACATTTATTGTGACTTGCTTTATAGCCTACCATATGGTCTATCCTGGAGAATGTTCAGTGTGTGTTTGAAAAGATATATTTTGCTTTTGTTGGGTGGAGTGTTCTACAGTTGGTTTATATTGTTGTTTTAGTCTTCTGTATATATCCTTACTGATTTTCTGTCTAGTTGTTCTATTATTAAGAGTGGGATAGGGGCGCCTGGGTGGCGCAGTCGGTTAAGCATCCGACTTCAATGAGTCGATCTTCGCCTCCGTCCGACCCAGCGTGGGCTCTGGGCTGATGGCTCAGAGCCTGGAGGCCTGTTCCCGATTCTGTATGCTCCCTCTCTCTCTGCCCTCCCCGTTCGCTCTGTCTCTCTGTCCCAAAAATAAATAAACGTTGAAAAAAAAAAAAATTTAAAAAAAAAAAAAAAAAAAAAAAAAAAGAGTGGGATATTGAACTTCCCAACTACTATTACTGAGTTAGCTATTTCTCTTTAATTCTGTCTGGTTTTGCTTCCTATATTTTAAGGCTCTGTTATTAGTGCATATATGTTCATATTGTGATAGCTTACTGATGAACTGATCTTTTTATCATTATAAAATGTCCCTCATTGTATCTAGAACCATTTTTTTTGTCTTAAAGTCTATTTTGTTTGATATTAGTCTATTCTCTCCAGCTCCCCTGTGGTTACTGTGCAAGATCGAATCTAAGATATGTTGCTTATCATTGGATCGTGTTGGCTTTTAAATATATATACACACAAAAAAATACACAAATACACATAAAATTGGGCAATCTTTCACTTTCGAGTATTTAATTCTTTCATATTTAATGTAATTATTGATATGATTGGATTTATATGTGTTGTGTTGCTGTTTATTTTCCATGTCTCATCTCTTTGTTCTCCTGTTCTTCTTTTACTACTTTTTGTGTTAAACAAATATTTTCTAGTGTACCATTTTAATTCCATTTTCCCCCTATATTTTTGGAGTAATTCCCTTAGTAGCTCTTTAGGGATTGCAGCACACATTTTAAATTATCACAACCAGGGGCGCCTGTGTGGCTCAGTTGGTTAAGCATTGGACTCTTGATTTTGGCTCAGGTCATGATCTCACCATTGGTGAGTTTGAGCCCCATGTTGAGCTCTGCACTGACAGTGTGGAGTCTACTTGGGATTCTCCCTCTCCCTTTCTCTCTGTCGCTCCCCCATTCACTTTCTCTCTCTCTTTCTCAAGATAAATACACTTAAAAAAATTATCACAATCTGTTTCAGATTAGTGCTAACTTAATACAAGCAAAATATAGAATTTTTGCTCCATTAGCTCCATTCTCTTCCCCTCCTTTGGATTTTGTCATATATATTACATTTGTATGTATCATAAGCCCAACAACATAGTTCATAATTATTGTTTTATATGATTGTCTTTTTAATCAGTTAAGAGAGGAAAAGAAAGCATATTTTTACCTACATATACTTGTGCTCTTTATTTCTTTGTGTGAATTTGAGTTATCCTCTGGTATCATTTCCTTTCCACCTGAAGGACTTCTTTGTCTTTCTTATAAGGCTGGTCTACTAGCAGCAAATTCTTTCCGTTTTGCTCATCTAGAATGTCTTTATTTCACTTTCATTTTTTAATAGACTTTATTTTTTTAAGGTAGTTTTAGATTTATAAAAAAAAGTGAGAAAATAGTACAGAGAATTCCATATTTCTCCATAGTTTCCCCTAGTACAAATATATTACATTAGTATGATACATTTGTTATAATTAACAAACCAGTATTGACACATTATTAACTAAAGTCCATAATTTATGGACTGTAGTCATAATTCCTTGTTTTTACCTAATGTCCTTTTTTGTTTCAGGATTCCATCCAGGGTACCTAATTACATTTAATTGTCATGTCTTCTTAGGCTTTCTTGGCTGTGACAATTTCATAGACTTTTCCTTCTGTTTGATGTTCCTGACACATGTGAGGAGCACCAGTCAGATATATTATAAGATGCTCCCCTATGGGAATTTGTCTGGTGTTTTTCTCACATTTACTCTGGGGTTATGGATTTTGAGGAGAAAGATCACAGAGGTAAAGTACCATTGTCATCATACAATTTCAAGGGTATGTACTATCAAATGACTCAATGTTGACCTTGACCACGTGGCTAAAGTAGTGCTTGTCAGGTTTCTCCACTGTAAAGTTACTCTTTTTCCTCATTTTCCATACTTTGCTTTTTAAAATAAGTCTATATGTGCAGCCCATACTTAAGGAAAAGGGAGTTGTGCTCCCTTTCTTTTAGGATGAATATCTACATAAATTATTTGAAGTTCTTATGTACTATAATTTGTCTCTTCTTCCTCATTTATTAATTTATTCAATTATTTATCTCAAAATGAACTCAGATTTTTTTTGGACTTTGAGTTATAATCCAATACCACTTTATTTACTTGCTTAAGTTGTTCTAGTTTTGGCCGTTGGGACCTCTTTCAGTTGGTTCCTGTGCCCCTTTAACATAACCTCATCGATGTGGCTTTTTCTTTTTTTTTCTTTCTTTATTTTTATTATTATTAAATAATTTTTTTAATGTTCATTTATATTTGAGAGAAAGAGAAAGACAGTGCATGAACAGGGCAGTGCAGAGAGAGAGAGAGACAGAAACAGAATCCAAAGCAGGTTCCAGGCTCTTAGCTGTTAGCACAGAGCCAGACGCAGGGCTTGAACTCACAAGCTGTGAGATGACCTGAGCCGAAGTCAGACGCTCAACCAACTGAGCAACCCAGGTGCCCCTTTCTTTTTTATTTTTTTAGCACTTCCCTACTTTCTGGCACTACAAGATGCTTCAGGTTCATCTCGAATATATCCTGCTCCAGTCTTATAATCTGTCATTTCTTCAAGGATTTCTGGTTACTTTTAGTAGAGAATAGTATTAAAAAGCAAGGTCTGGTTGCTAGGTGTGTGTTCATTGCTACTGGGCTGTCATTTCTGTTCAGTCCTCTCATTCGACAGAACAACAACAACAACAACAACAACAACAACAAAATATATATATGTATGTGTGTGTGTGTGTGTGTGTGTGTGTGTAGAGCCAATGCAGTTACACATATCTATTAATATGTATATATATTATCATCTGTAACTACTTTAAACTAAACATAAGTTTATAGAGATTTCTCTAATTTTAATTCATTATCACACATAGACCATTCCAGTTTCTTCCCCTTGCTTATCTATAAATTATGACAAACAATAAGAAACTTGCTCCTACCATCTACTTCACTTAATTGCTCGATTCCAGTATACATGCATAGCAGTATCAGAATTATTAACCCATACCCTAGTGGGAAATAACTTATCAACTAGAGTACAGCACTTTGTCTTCAGTCTTACAGACTCCATTCATTTCCGGTTACTTATAGGTCAGCACTCCCTTCATCCTCTCATTCCTTTCAATGAGGTTGTGTCATACATTTCTTATATTGTTAGATTGTCATATCACAGTCTACATTCCTTCCTGGGATCCCCTGACCTCTTAAAAGGGTATTTAAAAATTTTGTATACATTAAGTTTCACTCTTTGTGCTATAGAGTTCTACTGGGTTTGACAAATGTATATTGTCATGTATCCGCCCTTATAGTATCATACAGAATAGTTTTTCCACCCTAAAAATGCCCTGTGATTCACTTATGTATTCTTCCCCTCTTTCCCCAAGTCCCTGGTACTGATAATTTTTTATGTCTCCATAGTTTTTTTTTTTAATTTTTTTTTTTAACGTTTACTTATTTCTGTGACAGAGAGAGACAGAGCATGAACAAGGGAGGGTCAGAGAGAGAGGGAGACACAGAATGTGAAACAGGCTCCAGGCTCTGAGCTGTCAGCACAGAGCCCGATGCCGGGCTCAAACTCACGAGCTGTGAGATCATGACCTGAGCCGAAGTCGGACCCTTAACTGATTGAGCCACCCAGGTGCCCCTATGTCTCCATAGTTTTGGTTTTCCAAGGATATCATATAATTGGAATCATGTAGTATGTAGCTTTTTCAGACTGGCTTCTGTCACTTAGCAATATACATTTAAGGTTCCTCCCTATCTTTTTGTGGCCTAATAGCTTATTTCTTTTTACTGCTGAATAATATTCCATTGTACAGATGCACCACAGCTTGTTTATGTGGTTGCTTCCAGGTTTTGGTGACTAAGAATAAAACTGCCATACACACACACACACACACACACACACACACACACACACACACTCTTTCTCATGGACATAAGTTTTCGAATTAATTATGTAAAAACCTAGGAGCATGATGGCTAGATCATTTGATAAGATTACATTACTTTGTAAGTAACTTTGTAAGAAACTGCCAAACTGTCTTTCCAAGTAGATGTACCATTTCTCATTCCCACCGTTTTTCAACAGGAGTTCTTGTCACTCCCTGTACTTGTTAGCAATTGGCATTATTGGTTTTTTGGATTTAGCCATTTTCAGAAATGTGTAACATATTTCATTGTTGTAATTTGCAATTCTTTTTTTTTTCAAGTTTTTACTTAAATTCTAGTTAGTTAACATGTAATATAAATTGGTTTCAGAAGTAGAATTTAGTGATTCATCTCTTACATATAACACCCAGTGCTTATCACAAGTGCCCTCCTTAATACCCATCACCTATTTAGACTATTCCTTACACAGTGCCCCTCCCCTCAGTTTGTTCTCTATAGTTAACAGTCTCTTATGGTTTGTCTTCCTCCTTTTTTTTTTTTTTTGGTTTTCTCTTTCTCCTATGTTCATCTGTTTTGTTTCTTAAATTCCACATGAATGAAATCATATGGTACTTGTCTTTCTCTGACTTATTTCACTTAGCATAATACACTCTAGCTCCATCAATATTGTTGCAAATGACAAGATTTCATTCTTTTTTTTGGCTGAGTAATATTCCATTGTATATATATCGCACATCTTCTTTATCCATTCATCAGTCAATGGACAATTGGGCTCTTTCCATAATTTAGTTATTACTGATAATGTTGCTATAAATATTGGGGTGCACGTGTCCCTTCGAATCAGTATTTTTGTATCCTTTGGGTAAATATCTAGTAGTGCAATTGCTGGGTTGTAAGGTAGTTCTATTTTTAACTTTCTAAGGAATCTCCATAGTGCTTTCCAGAGTGGCTACAACAGTTTCCAATTCTCTAATGACAGATGACACTGAACATCTTTTCATATCCTTAGTTGCCATCTGTATGTCTTATTTCTTGCCTTCATTAAAAAGAAAAATAACAGGTTACATCCTTTGATTACTTTGAAAATAGTTATTTAATGGAATGGATCTGATAGAAATTCTGTAATACATTTACAGAAGTGTTGAAAACACATGGATATATGAGTGTTCACTGCAAGCCACATTTACAGGAGTGTTATTTCAGTGAATAATGTAATATATTTAGAGAACTGTTTAAAAACACATGCAATAAGGATGCTTACAAGAGCTGTATGTGCATACTACTTTGAGAAGAGTGTTATTTCAAGGAATGGATGTAATAGAAATTCTGTAATCCATTTAGAGAAGTCTTTAAAGACACTTATAATGAGGATGGTTATGAGAGTTGCATGTGCATGGTACTTTGGGAAGAGTGTTATTTCAGGGAATGGATGTTTTACCTTCATTTTTTGAAGGATAGTTTTCCTGGATATAGAATTCTCGGTTAGCAGTATTATTCTTTCACCACTTTGAATAGTCATCCCACTGTGTTTGGGCCTCTTGTTTCTAATCAGTGGTAAGCTGTTAAATTTACTATGGCTCCCCTATGCTTTGATTTTTTAGTCTCCTTTGATTGTGATAAGTCATTTTTATCTTTTTACTTTAAAGATTCTTTGTCTGGCTTTCAACAATTGACTATGATGTATCTAGGTATGGATCTTTTTGTATTTATCTTAGAGCTCAATGATCTTCTTGAATGTGTAGATTAATGTTTTTCATCAAATTTGGGATGATTTGGCCATTATTATTTCCTCAATATTTTTTTAAAAAGTTTATTTTTTTAAGTGTTTTTAATGTTTATCTATTTATTTTTGAGACAGAAAGAGAGCAAGTTGGGGAGGGGCAATGAGAGGGGGGGAGAGAGAGCATCCCAAGCAGGGTCTGTGCTGTTAGCACAGAGCCAGATGCAGGACTTGAACTCATGAACCATGAGATCATGACCTGAGCTGAAATCAAGACTTGGACTCTTAACCGACTGAACCATCCAGGCACCCCCAAAACTGGACATTTTAGATGACATATTATAGCAACTTTAGAGTCTGACTTCCCCTATAACCTCCAGGGTTTCTTTTTGCTCCTTTTTTCCTTTGCTTTTTAGTGATTTGTCTGGATTAATGCAGTAAAGTCTGTCTCCCCAACAGTGTGTGGCTGCTGACATCTTTGCTCAGTTCTTTTTTTTCCCTCATTTTTGTTTATATTTTAAAGCTTGAATTCCTAGGGGTCATCTTTGGGTCAGCATAACTTAGTGGTCAATAACTGGCCAATCATTAAGTGATCCCGATTGATCCAGTAAGGCTTCTATTCTTTACTAATGGATCTGTGTGTGAGTTAAGGAAGTATTGTTTTAGACAACGTCCCTAGGCATGTGTTTTTTCCCTGCTTTATTCCAGATCAAATCAGCCCCCTCAGGCAGTAGAGCTTCAAGGCTTGACTCACTCTTGTAGAACTACCAGGTAACATGGCTTGGGGGAGTTGGAAACAGAAGAAGCTCCAGGCTAAAACATCACAGACTTCCAGTTCTTACTGAAGTTTAGTAATTTTTCTTGAAAAAAATGCTTACCATTTTGTTGTATGCTTGCAGTCAATTTCCAAAGTCCTAAAATCATTGGCTTGGGCAGTTTTGTCAAGTTTTATCATTGCTTTTATGGGAAAAAATTTTGCCGAATTTCTCATTCAGCCATTCTGGAAATCCCTTCAAATGTTTGACTTTTTTCTGCTCTTTTGTGACTCTTCTGAAAGAACCAAGACTAACTGTGATTCAGAAAAGTGAGAAAAGAAGGACAGGAACCTAAGAAAGAAAATGGAAAGCACCAAGCATAATCAAAGCCAAAGGAAAGTTTTGGCTTATGTTATATCTAATCCCAAACTTATAACTGAAGGTAAGCTGAGATCATAACTAAAGACTAAAGACTAAATTTTGGAAGCAAAATTCTAGGTAATTGTGGGAAAAAATAATACTATTTACTTTGGAGGTAAAGGTTTTTTTGTTGTTTTTTTTTTAAGATTTTATTTTTAGGGGCACCCATGTGGCTTAGTCAGTTGAGCATCTGACCCTTGATTTCAGCTCAGGTCATGATCTCACAGTTGTGACACTGAGCCTTGCATTGGGCTCCATGCTGAGTGTGGAGCCTGCTTAAGATATTCTCTCTCTCTCTCAAAAAAAATAAATAAATAAAATAAAAATAAAATCTTTTTTTTTTTCTTTTTCTTCTTAAGTAATCTCTACACCCAACGTGGGGCTCAAACTCACAACCTTGAGATCAAGAGTCATATGCTCTATAGACTGAGCCAGTCAGGTGCCCCATTGGAGCCAAAACTTTATGATGAATCTTTATCCTATACCTATCCATAATTTAGGCTAAAGTCCTAGGCTTTAGCATAGATAGAGCACCACACAGAAGAAGAAATGCAATCTCATTATTTTATGTTTTGTGGTTTTTTTCCTCCAGCATCTAGAGGTACTCTATGGAAATCTTGGAAAGAAAGGGTTATAAAGCGACCTGCAACAGCTCATGCTTTAAGACCAGATCAGATGATTAGTGATGAATTTGCAACAAATACAAAGGTTTCAGAAATCCAAGATATGCTACAGGAACTCATAAACACTGCAATGTTCAATAAATTGGAAAACAATGCTATTAAATATATATCATCAACAATAGTAAACCTTTCTAAAGCTTTGAATACACTAAATGATGAAGTAAAAGTTTTTACCCTCCAAAGTGCTAATATGTATATAAATGAGACAAGTGAAAAAGAAAAAGAGCTCTCTCTGAAAATAATACGAGATCTCAGTGAACAAAATGAAATACTTCAGCAGAAACTTCAAGATGCAGAAGAAAAATATGAACAATTTATTTGGTCCAAAGGTATTGTAGAGCAACAACTACCTACAGCATTACCCACATCAACCTTGAAAGCGTTGCCTGAGCTTTCTCCACAATCATCCATTGCCATTAGCAAAACTGACATAGAAGACAGTATGGAAAATATTTTGGCTAAAGAATTTGAAAACATTATAGACGAGGCCCAAACACAAGAGACCAAAGCCTTGGGGATCCAGTGGGACTCAGCATTTTCATATACAGCCCCAGCTGAAATGACCCCAGATTTAATTGAACGACAATACCCTTTATCTGAAAAAAACCAAAAAGAGTCTTCTGAAGGTATCACTGAAGATAAGGTGTCACTGAAGAAAGATGATGACCAGTATCAATCACAGAAGAAAAAGCAAATTAAAGGCTCATCTATGGATGAGACCTCTGGATCACATCTTAGTGATGATAAAGGTAAACAGAAAGAGACCAAACTTGATCATGACTTGGAGCTACAGGCACTGGAAAATAATAGAAAAGAAAGGAAACCCTTTTCTGAAGCCAAACCAAAGTCATTCGCAGAATCAAAAAGTCGCTATGTCCCTACTGACTACCCTTCTACTGACACAAAAAGACAAAGTGGCAAAAGTGGAACAGGTAGTATGTGGGAAAGACTCAGGAAGGTCAAACCTGAGTATTCACATGACAAAAGCCAGATTTCTTCAGAGAGTAAAGAAGAACCCACCACTGAGTCAATGGACAAAGAGAGCAAAAGTGAGATGAGTAGCCAAGCAGAGCAATTCAAATTGACTGAACTTGGTTATTCCTCTGAGAAAATGAAAACAAAAGGGAAGAAACGTCAGATCTCTCCAAGAACCACCACAAGCAAAGAGGGAAAAACTGAGGATATCATAGTCTTAGCCAAGAAATTCAAGTCTCCTGAACTTGTTAAATCACAATCTAGGATAGCAAAGGAGACTTCAGAATCTACCAGAGTTCTAGAAAGCCCAGATGGCAAAAGTGAAGAGAGTAAGCTAGAAGAATTTCAAAAAGCTATAATGGCTTTCCTAAATGAGAAAATTGATAACATAGGAAAGCCTTTGGATAAAAAGGCTGTGCCAAAAGAGGAGTTATTATTAAAAACAGCAGAGGTTGAAAAATTAGAAATCATAAAGGCAAAAATGGAGGAATACTTCCAAACTGTGGCTGAAACTGTGGCAAAAATCTTGAGAGAATACAAAGACATAAAAAATGCAGGACAAGTTGGAGAGAAACCTATGAAACGAAAAAAGGAAGTCTCATTTATGCCAGGATTGCATTTTCAGAAGCCAATTAGTGCAAAGGCTGAAATTAGCACCTTACTCTCATCTAAGAGCATGGACCCATTAATTGACAATTTAATACAAATGATCTTGACTGAAATAGAAGGTGAAAGAGATGCTCCAGTAGCCTCAACAGTAGGGAGAGACCACAAGGAAAAGGAAAAACAGAGGTGGGATGAATATTTGCAAGAAGGTCAAGAAAAAGTATTTGGTGAGGGTCTCAAACACCATTTGCAAGAGGAAGGGAGTTTCTGGAAGAAGAGCCATGAGCTGATAAGTAAAAAATTGGAGAAGGAAGAGTCATGGCTCCAAATGAAGGAGAGAAAGCAGAGGCAACAGAAGCAGAAATGGTGGCAGGAAGAGGAAGCATGGAAGGAACAACAAAAACAGACTGAACAAGATGTCGAGCAAATGCAAAGAAAAGAGAAAGGATATCAGAAGCCAAAACAGCAGCAGCTGGAGGCATGGAATCAAGAAATGGAAGAACAATTGGTACCCCTGGAGGAGGAGGAGGAGGAGCAGATGAGGCCAGTTCAGAAGGGACTGAGACACCCGAAGCTAGAAATAAATAGGGAGAAAGAAGAGAAGCAGAAGCCAAGGAGAAACATAGAAGACCATGGAAGGCAGAAGCAGAAAAAGACAAAGGATCAGAGGAAGATCAATGAGAAAAGTTCTGACACACTAGAAAAGATGTTCAGACAAACTTCAGTGACGGTGTCTCCCAAATGGAAGAGCATACCGAAAGTAGCATCCCAGTTACACCAAAGAAAAGTGTTCCATGGACATCTGAAGACATTAGAAAATTTTGCTGATGGAAAGCACCCTATACCAATCACTCCTTCTCCATCGACACAATCGCCATCACCTGGGGCCTTTCCAATTTCTGGACAGTCTCCCACAAAGACCTTCACTCTAACTCCTCAACAGGCCCAGGAACTGGAGATCACTATCACCCCTCAAAAGACCAAAGAACTAGGCATCACTGTGGCCCCAGAACAGGCCCAGGCACTGGGGATCAGTCTTACCCCTGAGCAGGCCCAGGAAATGAGCATCACTGACACTCTTCAAAAGGCATTGGGGATCACTGTCACTCCTCACCAGGCTCAGGCACTTGGGATCCCTCTCACTCCTGAGCAGGCCCAGGCACAGGGGATCACTCTCACCCGTCAGCAGGCACAGGCCTTGGGAATCACTCTCACCCCTGAGCAGGCCCAGGCACTCAGGACCACTGTCACTCCTCAGCAAGCCAAGGCACAAGGGATCACTCTCACCCCTCAGCAGGAACAGGCACTGGGGATCACTTTCATACCTGAGCAGACCCATGAACTGGGGTTCACCTTCACTGATAAGCAGGCACAGGCACATGGGATCACTCTCACCCCCAAGCAGGCCCAGGAATTGGGGATCACCCTCACTTATGAGCAGGCCCAGGCACTGGGGACCACTGTTATTCCTCAGCAATCTCAGTCACAGGGGATCACGCTCACCCCCGAGCAGGCCCATGAACTGGGGTTCACCTTCACCGAGGAGCAGACCCTGGCACAGGGTATCACACTCACCCCTGAGGGGGTCAAGGCACCGGGCATTACTGTCACCCCTGACCAAGTACAGGAAATGGAGATCACTGTCACCCCTCAGCAGGCACAGGCACTGGAGATCATGGTCACTCCTGAGCAGTCACAGGCACAGGGCATCACTCTCACTTCTGAGCAGGCCCAGACACAGGGGATCACTCTTACCCCTGAGCAGGCACAGGCAGGGGGGATCACTCTAACATCTCAGCAGGCCCAAGCACTGGGAATCACTCTGAGCCCTGAACAGGCCCAGACCCAGGGGATCACTCTCACCCTTGAGCAGGCCCAGGCACTGGGGATCACTCTGACCCCTCAGCAGGCACAGGCAGGGGGGATCACTCTCACCCCTCAGCAGGCCCAGGCA